GGGGGGGGGGCCGGTCCAGTGTTTTGTAGCCCTTGGTGCTTGTAGCAGATTTCCAAGTTAGACAACACACAGAATCTTCTATGGATTATAAAGCTCTTTATTCTTGATGATCTTTCAGAAACACTGAGAAACTGATACTAATGAAAACTAAAGAAAAAGAAAATAATACTGTTTACACAAAGTAAATACACAGAGAAATAAAACAATTTAAATGATACAACTATATAAATTTAAAAAATAATGATACTAATACTAAAGGAGATTCACTGGCTTAACTTATACACTCTTATCCAGCAGTCTCTTATCCAGCTGCCTCAGTCTTGCCATTGGCACTGTGATGACCTGGTGAAGTAATTTCATGCTGCACACAGTGGTCCAGCATCTATTACCACAATTCTTGGTATTCCAAAACGAGGAATCTGCTTCTTTAAACATGTTATAATGCTCATGCTTGTGGTAGTGTGCAGACGACCGACTGCAATGAATTTTGAATAATGGTCAATGACCACAAGGAAGGATCTGTCATCCATCAATCTCGAAAATATCACTAGATATTTTATCCCAGGGTGCATTTCCATCACTTTGTGTTATCAATGTTTCTTTTTAATTGCCTGGTCAGAGTTCTTGACATTGTACACAGGTCTCAACAAGCTGGTCATGTGACATTCAGGGCCAATATACTAACGAACATTCATGTCACATATCTCACCATAGTTTGCATTCTTTGGCCATGGAAATTAGTGCAACAAATTTCCTCCATCGATAACAAATTGTGTATCACTGGTAAGACCAGGTCCAGCAACACAGAGGTGCAATCTTCAGGAGACTGTGTATAAATTCTGCTTTGTCTCCTGTTCACATGCACAATGTGTGATCAAACAAAGGAGGACATGAGCACAGTTCATACTGAAAAAGTTCCACCAAAAGGAATTCAATTCACCTTCCCCCATTACAAGTAAACTTTAGGACAGGCACTATAGATCCATGTCAATTCTTTTACTAGAGGGAAGTTTTGCATATTTGGTTTTTGATGGCATCATTTACATGCTGATGGGCATCTTGAATGAGCCTTTCTAAATTTGATTTCAGTGTGACAATTAAGAGGCTATTGCCACTCTGTCTCCATAATAGATGTACAGCTGTCGCTGAAGAGATTTTTTGCAGTAACCTTTGTCACACCTGGAATCAATTTGCATAATCTCATTTTATCAAAGGTGACAGTCCCATCATCATTATTTTCTAAATACTCAACAACTTTCATGAATAAAGATTGCTTATTCACATCTCTCTGACCAATGATGAAACCAATACAAAAAAAAAATAGTACATGCATTCACACTAAACATATTTTTATGTAGTTAACACAAAAATGATATGCATTATTATTTATTTATATTATTGTTAAAAAAGTAGATAAAAACTCTTAATGTAATGGTTTGAACCACCTTTTTAAAACTTTTAAACTGCATGCTGATGGACCCGCTTTCAATTGGAGTTTCAATGAACAATCTCTAGGCGATACCAATCACAATCGCGTTTCTGATTTCTTCCTCCTTGTTAGTAAAGTTACAGTTAGTAAAGTTAGTAAAATTCCACTAAATTTCTGTAGAAAGTTTCATCAGATTCCCCAGGTAAGTGACGACGCTGGTGGAATTTTGCTCTCTCGTGTATTACATTCCTTCTTGGAATGAAATACTCATTGTTCTGACCGTTGACTATTGTCATCAGACAGCATACCATACAACACAACACATCTTGTTGAGATGTAATAGCGGTAAACTTTAATAAGAAAAAATAAACAAAATGTAAGTACAAAGACAATAACAAAGTAAACTTTACAAAACTATTTTGTCTAAAACTGAAGGCCAATTACGGTAACACAGTTGTGATGATATTAAGAATGCTCTATAAAACTAAACGGTAATAAAGGTAAGCAATTTAAAGAATGTTTTTTGTACTAAGCTTAAGTGCAATACCATTTCACAATACAACGTACATGTATCTGTTCTATATTTAAGAGCATTTACAGTACTAGTAAAACAAATGTAAATTCTTACAAAAAATGGTGTCACCGGCTAAAACGTGTAAAGCAGTACTGAAAACATGCTACAGATTTGCAATGACTGAAAACGGGAACCTAAATAAGATCGCTGACACGCTAAACTCTAAACAATATCACTTGCACCCTGACGCTAATACAGTAAGTTTGCGCTAAGCTAAATAGCCGTTCTTCGATCAAATATAGCTTTTACAGAGGGTTTATACAATGAAATACACCAGGTAAATCGTAGTGACACATTGCGTAAGCAAAAACAAATACGAAATCACCATCAGTAAATCAGCATTGTTACAAGATACCGAACGCTAACAAAGATCGTCGCGGCAGCAATTTAAGGAATGTTTATAAACTAAATCGTATAACTAAATATTAAAACAACCTTGCTACTCTATAAACTCACTTTAACTTATCAACAAAATGAAAACGCTTACTTTAACTCCTATGGTTGAGTTATGTCTTTACTGTAGAACTAGAACGGCGTGTATCTTCTGAGTATCGTGTGAGTGAATGAAGAACGTTCTAAGTGTAACTAAGTAATATCGGGGTTACTGGCCAATGAAGTCCGGCCGACACGCCACTACCCGTTACACAATAATTTAACCCCAATACAGTGAGAGCGCTAGGAGGCTAGCGAAGTGAAAGGGCTACAAATTCACGAAGAGGGGTCTACAAAGCTATACGTAGTGTACTATGCATTCTCCTAAAGCTATTAAATTAGTTTCAACACACTCATTGAACTTAGCAATGGCAATGTCAACATTTTCTGACTCGGGCTTACCTTCTTCCGTGGCCTCTGCTGTAGACAGATTAAACGTTGAAAATATTTGCTCTGTGTCCTTCCCCATGGTATATATTAAAGCAGACACTTGTATACCACTGGCCTCAGAGTCCAGTTTGGTAGCTCTCCTATATCGCATGAATCATTGGCACCATTATGTCCACTCGTTTGGCACATAGAACTTAAAGGAAGATTTAATTTTGCCATTCCGTCACTGAATTTGCATCTCCTCTCTTTCTCTCTCTCTAGTACCTCTCCTTTTTTTTCACAGCATTTCTGACACCATGTCATAGAATGGCATAAAAATAAAGACAAACATGCTGTACAAGCTGTTCATACACGTGACTTTATTCTACTTCTTCTAACTACATACAGATGGCGCTTTAGGCCAAGATGTAACCAATCATATATGACACTGACACTCATTGAAGTCACTGGCCCTACTCTGGCACCATGGAGATTACTCTCTGACACTCGAGAAAGTCACTGGCCCTAATCAGATACTATGGTGAAAGTCTAAAGGAAACAGTGTTAATAGGGGGGTTCCTGTCAGCTTCATAAACAATTTTGGTATTCAGCTTTTTTCTTGCTTGCCTTAAATAAGGGGGGCATGCCTTTGCAATTACTGTGCACTTTGCCACACGCACCAATATCCCTGGCTTGTTTGGGCCATATACATTTACCAGTAAAAATGTGTATTTGTTTCCATCAGGACTTTGAGAAAAATGTAGTTTCTGCGGTTGTCATTTTTTTATTTAAGGACTTTAAATTCAAAATTATTATTAAACAGTATTGCTGTTCCTTTCGAGTCTGGACTGGACTGAACCTGGACTGGAAAAAGTTTTGTAGCCTAAGAGGGGACGAATATTATTCACTGTAAACAAATCATCGCGCGTCTTGCATTTGTAACATAAAATTCATCGTAATAATTTTTCTATGCTTGATATAAGGTGGTTTGTCATTGGCCTGTAATCATTTATGGGTGTGGAAACATTGTTTTATGCATTTCATACGTTGAAAATTGACCTAGAAAAATGGTGTTTTTAGGTCAGTTGGTCGCAAAAACACGGCGTTGGCAAGTGAGAGGCTCAGACAGGGTGGCGCAAAATTGCGACGGGGCACTAACAGGGTTAAGTGTGAAAAATTAGGGCAGTCCAGATTTCTTAGCAACTGTATTCAACTTTCAAACTTGTGAATTGCAATGCCCTCATGAACAATCCAGTAAACTGATTTCATGGCTGCTATAATTGCTCCATCTTTACCTAAATGTTTTAAGTATTACAGTTAAATATATATGTATGTGTAGGTTGATATGAACATTATTGTCAGATACAGTACTATATTTCGATGCAGCACCAGGTTCTCTGGCTAACCCCCTTTTCATTGCCAGTGTTTGTATTTTTTTTTGTAGATTGTAACTGTTCCATAAACTTTCTAACATCTTTTTTTCTCTCTCTCTCAACTATGGGGCCAACATTTGAAGCAGTGATCCTCCCTTTCCAAAGTTTGTGCCATAGAGGTGTCGTTCTTTGTGCCCTTGTTTGTACCTCAAACTTAATGATATCATCTTCGGCCAGCATAAGCTCATGGATGAAAGAAGTGTGGGTTCTAGATAGACACAGAGACACTTCATTAAACATACATGAATTATTGCAGACTGGGAGGTGAGGGAAACTAGTATCTGCAAAATTATTATAATATATTCAGATGATATTTGTTATTGGTAGCTGATGGGGCTGCCACATCGAAACTCCATATTTAGTTGTAGTGAGTGGAGTGTCTTGAACTTGGCTGGTCACGAACTCTAAAATCATGGAATTTGGATGAACACATTCAACAGCATTAAACAGAAGGACTGGGGATGGCATTTGACATCTGATGGGGTTGTACAGTGTAGACTTTCTTGACTGAGGTGGCTTCTCAGTTGTTTCCGTATTGTTCATGTAGCTTGAAACCTCAATGTCTTAAACAACCTTACCACCAATTTTTTCTCCTCTTGGTGTGCTCCATGAGCAGGGCAGTGATGTCCTTGCTACGTCCTAAGGGATCTGCCGTACTCCCAGGGCGCTTCTGTTGTACATTGAATGCGTTAACGCCTGCATTTTCTGAGATTTTCGCTGCTTGTTTTTCGCTTGCCTCCATGGCTTATCCTATGTCAAGTGCGCGCGCTAATGTCAAATTTGTGTCAGTTAGTAACTTCGTTCTCAGTTTTCTAGAGAAACAATTGTCAATGATTTGATCTTTTATAAATTCATCGATTTGATTAACCTCAAAATTGCATTCTCTTGCTAGGGAGCACAGTCTTGTTACGAACTCGGGTAAGTGTTTCCGAGCCGCTCTGTCTGGCCTGGCGAAAAATATGCTGATTGTAAGAAATGTTTCTTCTTGGTCTAAAATAATTGTTGAGCAGATCAACTGCAACGTCAAATGCATTTGCATTTTCCTCTTGTTCGTCATTGGGGTTTTCCAGCGTATCGAAGATTTCTTGTACTTCGATGCTGGCACAGCTGTTTCTTTTTCTCTACATCTACTCAACCAGTGGCTACAGCAAAGATTTTGAAGCTTTTCAGCAACCTCTCCCATCTAGTTGCAATGTTATTCTGATCACTGTGTGGATCAAACTACTCAATCGCAGCGATACAGAAACGGCGCGACTTTGCGACATTTGACCCATAAATTTCATTATTGTCTCATAAAAAACGATCGTAGTGCGACCGAACATGAGGCCATTGTCGCATAAATAGCATCACCTTTGCGACCAGGAAATCAGAAAAATACGTATATATTCAAATTTAATAAAAATCAGGAATGATCCAAACAGTTTAACAAAGTAAAAATCGTTCAGTGAGTGCGCAATATCACCTGAAACTGAGTGGGACTCAACAGCCAATCACATCGCACCTTTCAGTTATAGCGCTTAGCAACGCTTGCGAATTCAGCGAATCATGCTTCTTTTTGCATTCATCGCAATTTTCCTCCTCGCACATGGCGGAGCAAAGTGACAGTGAAACTGAACCTCGTGACCAGTCGGCTGCTTGTTTGCCTCGAAAACGTGTCAAACGAGTGTTCAATGAAGCTTGGAAATCTAAATGGACATGGCTAGAACACAAAGACAACCATATGTTTTGCACACTATGTGTAAAAAGCCAAAAAAAGAACGTTTTTACCGAAGGTTGTAGCAACTTCAGAACCGCGACTTTGGAGCGGCATGCTTCAGCAGCTGACCATTGCCAGTCGGTACAAGATGAAATCTCAAGGTCAACTCTATCGAGAATGGTAAAAAATCAGTTTAGTGAGAATGACAGTGCCATAATCCATGCTCTACGAACAATAAATTTCTTGGCAAAGCAGGACATAGCAACATCCAAGTACCCAGATTTTGTTGATTTTTTGATACAGCAAGGCTGCAGAGCTTTTGCGCCAATTGCAAAAAGCTGCCAATCCTACACTATTACCAAAGACTTTCAAGAGAGTATATACGAAGTGATTCTCCGAGATATGAGAAAAATGCTGACAGATGCCGACTATATCTTTGTGCTTTGTGATGAATCATGTGACATTACTAGTACAAAAAAACTGAGTGTGTATGCGAGGATATCATCAGGCTGTAAACCAGAGACCATTTTCTTAGAGAATTGTGAAATACTGGGTGGGAAAGCAGACACCATTGCAACATCTGTCAAAAATCTCCTGACAAAGTTTGAAATGCCGCCTGATAGGGTAGTAGGACTAGGAAGTGACGGTGCATCGGTCAGTATTGCATAATATTATCAAGAAACAATAAATAAAAAACAACTGGTGTGAAGTTGATAAATAGAATAAATTAAATAATGTACTGGATATATAATATATTACAAGGAAACAATAAATAGAATAAATATTTGAAATTTCATTCATGAATTTTATTTAGTCAGGATTATAATTATTACTGTCAGTCTGTTATATTTACGAAAAATTCTAAAATATTAAATAGTTTGGAAACTTTTTAATAATGAAATAAATTAATAGTTTCAATTTTTCTAAAATATTGGTTAGTTCATCAGATGTTGATATGGAAAAATTAATTTCAATCTTTATCTCATCAGGTTATGACCAGAAAACACAATGGAGTCGGTACAAGACTAAAAAGAGAAATAAATCCACAGCTCATTCAACTGCACTGCATTGCTCACCAACTTGCACTGGTGTCTAGCCAATATTTGAAGACCTACCAGGAGTTCATGACAAATATCTACTACTGGTTCAAACACTCCGCCAAGCGCATTAGTGGACTGGCTTCTCTACAGGATGTATTAGATGCTCCCAAGATCAGGATAAATACATTCTGTCCGTTGGTTTAGCTTTTATAACAGTCTAGATGCATTGTATCGCTCTTGGCAATGTTTGGCAATGTTGTTTGAGCAATGTTCATGAGAAATGCCTTTGTCGTTTTGCTTTAAACACACCAAGAGCACTTCTAAAGTCAAAATCCTGAGAAAGGGGGCCATTTAGTTTTATGGCGATCAACATTTGTAAATTTTCACTGATCAGTCTATTTCTAAGGCTAGATTTGATTATATTTTGAGCACTAAAGCCACGTTCTACGTCTGCAGTATGCACTGGGAGGGCAAGTGCTATGCCAGCCAATTTGCACAAGTTAGGGAAATTCTCCTTATGAAATACGTTGATAATTGCCTAGAGTTCTTTCATACTGTCACAACTGTAAGTGTTTGCCAGGACCAATTCCTTCAGTATTGCCCATTCCTGTTTGACCACATTGCCATCAACATACTTGTCATTTGTGGTGTAATGACATTACATTACTTTATTGACATTACTACACTGACATGACATTAATAATGGCACTTCTGGTAATCATGCCTTAGAGTGTTTCAAGGAGCAAATATTTTTTTTTTTTAAGAATAAAACTTGTTTTATGGAAATAAAAAATGGTGTTTATGATGTGTCCCTTGTTTTGAACCTTGTGTCTCATATTTTTATGAAACAGGAGACACATGTCTCTCTTTTCACATAAAGTTTCTGTATCACTGCAATCGATGGTAAATTTATCGGCCTCGACATTATCTTCAATTTTTTGTAGAATCTCGGCAATATTTCTGCTTCTTTGCACTTTTACTGTTTTCAGCTCGTCGCCAATGTGATATTCTTGTTATCAAAATGAGAAGGCTAACGCACTGGAGGTTTACTTACATACGCATTCACTTTATTTCACTACATGTGGACACTTATAGTAAGCGTCTGGGTCACATGATATATGATTATTTATGAGGATACTACATCATGTTATCACTAGGCAGACTGTACTACTTGGGCCAGTGCTGCTTGTTTCAATACTTATAAAAATGTGTTGGGGTTGCAGCTCTACAGGTCCCATAATTGAACAGTTTTATTGTGCAGCTGTGAAGAACTACATGTATTCAACCAGCTTGGGTCCATTGGGTCCCCATTATCCTGATAAGGGTTAAACCAATACTACCCAGGTGCTCCCTAGCACAAATGTATAGGACCAGCCTCTGCCAGTCCTTTTGAAACTTCTTTATATCCACGGATGGTGAACTTGGCAGGAAGGTTTCCTTCAGGGAGGTGTTCCACCACCTTGCCACTGTTATATGTCAGGCAGTATTCTCCCTCTTCCATTTTATGCCCATTATGGGCTCTATGTTTGGCCAAACTGGCTTGCAAAGTTTCCTCTGTAGTCCAGCTTGGCCTTACTGGCACTTTCAGGGTCTTCCCCCTAAAAGGCTTCAAACTGCCATTATAAGGAATGAGAATTCCCACTCTGATCTGAAATACATGCATGAAAAAGTAACATTATTCTTTGGATTAAATTATCACTTGATTAGGCTAGTAAACTGATTTCATGGCTGCTATAATTGTTCCATCTTTACCTAAATGTTTTAAGTATTACATTTTGCAACTGTATCACATTTTGCAACCAAAGAAAAACATGCAATGCAAAAGTACGATTTGAGGAACCATAGAAATAAGTGTTGGGTGGAGATGAGGTAACTCTGACACTGGATGCCATATCGCTGTTTTCTTTTTTAAGGAGCATATCTTATGTCAGGCCTATCAGAAATTATTGTGCCCAAATTGTGTGATGAAAGTTAAGGTATCATGTTATCACTAGGCAGACTGTACTACTTGGGCCAGTGCTGTTTGTTTCAATACTAATAGAAATGTGTCAGGGTTGCAGCTCTACAGGTCCCATAATTGAACAGTTTTATTGTGCAGCTGTGAAGAACTACATGTATTCAACCAGCTTGGGTCCATTGGGTCCCCATTATCCTGATAAAGGTTAAACCAATACTACCCAGGTGCTCCCTAGCACAAATGTATAGGACCAGCCTCTGCCAGTCCTTTTGAAACTGTTCTTTATATCCACGGATGGTGAACTTGGCAGGAAGATTTCCTTCAGGGAGGTGTTCCACCACCTTGCCACTGTCATATGTCAGGCAGTATTCTCCCTCTTCCATTTTATGCCCATTGTGGGCTCTATGTTTGGCCAAACTGGCCTGCAAAGTTTCCTCTGTAGTCCAGCTTGGCCTTACTGGCACTTTCAGGGTCTTCCCCCTAAAAGGCTTCAAACTGCCATTATAAGGAATGAGAATTCCCACTCTGATCTGAAATACATGCATGAAAAAGTAACATTACTCTTTGGATTAAATTATCACTTGATTAGGCTAGTAAACTGATTTCATGGCTGCTATAATTGTTCCATCTTTACCTAAATGTTTTAAGTATTACATTTTGCAACTGTATCACATTTTGCAACCAAAGAAAAACATGCAATGCAAAAGTACGATTTGAGGAACCATAGAAATAAGTGTTGGGTGGAGATGAGGTAACTCTGACACTGGATGCCGCATCACTGTTTTCTTTTTTAAGGAGCATATCTTATGTCAGGCCTATCAGGAATTATTGTGCCCCAATTGTGTGATGAAAGTTAAGGTATCATGTTATCGCTAGGCAGACTGTACTACTTGGGCCAGTGCTGTTTGTGTCAATACTAATAAAAATGTTTCGGGGTTGCAGCTCTACAGGTCCCATAATTGAACAGTTTTATTGTGCAGCTGTGAAGAACTACATGTATTCAACCAGCTTGGGTCCATAGGGCCCCCATTATCCTGATAAAGGTTAAACCAATACTATCCAGGTGCTCCCTAGCACAAATGTATAGGACCAGCCTCTGCCAGTCCTTTTGAAACGGTTCTTTATATCCACGGATGGTGAACTTGGCAGGGAGGTTTCCTTCAGGGAGGTGTTCCACCACCTTGCCACTGTCATATGTCAGGCAGTATTCTCCCTCTTCCATTTTATGCCCATTGTGGGCTCTATGTTTGGCCAAACTGGCCTGCAAAGTTTCCTCTGTAGTCCAGCTTGGCCTTACAGGCACTTTCAGGGTCTTCCCCCTAAAAGGCTTCAAACTGCCATTATAAGGAATGAGAATTCCCACTCTGATCTGAAATTACATGCGTGAAAAAGTAACATTATTCTTCTAGCAGCATTAGATGCAATTTCCTGGAAGGTGTCCCATAAACCACTAAATATTTGGTTGGATTAAAATGATTTGATAAAAGAACATTTCAGGGAGATTTCATAGTGATTGGATTAGTTGGCATTGGATGTAGGCAGTCATGCTTCTCATTTGTGATATAAAGTAGTAATCATGAACTTAGAAACATAAAAATATTTTCTCATCCAGTTTTTTGTCTAGTACCTGAATGGATGGTAGTGGCAGATTAAATTCCAGATAACCAAATATTATGTGGTATATAAGATCCCCTAAAGAAGACTGGTTTAATTTTTTCAAAAAGTACTGGGCTCCGTATCTCGAAAGGTTCGAGCGCAAGTGTCTCGATTCCATGGCCCCGTATCTCGAAATAGAATCGGTTATGGAATCGAGACACTAATGCACGTGCGCAACATAGCAAACCTTTCCAGATACGTTGGCCTGAGACCTCAAGATTTTTTAAAATTTACCTTTTAACCGCCTTAAATCATTATTTACATTCACTTCATTGTCCTTCAATGAAAATCTGGATTTTTTGTTTATAAAAAATGAGTTTCTTTCAGCGTTCCTCTTTTCTCTCATTTTTTTTTTAATGTTTGGAGCAGCTGGGGTAAATCTGAAATAAAGGCAAATTCAGAATACATTTCAACAATCAACACCAGCCACTATGTTTAAAGGAAGGCACCAAAGTAGGTGAAAGTGCTTTAATTCAATAAACCCAAATACTCAATCTACATGTATGTAATTTGACCCTGGCTAACTTACAAATTGATGCCATTATATTGATTATAAAGATGCAATCAGGGAATTTTCTTCTTGAAAATTCTTATTTCTGTCTTAATTAAGCTGCAATAACCCTTAACTTAATTATTCTGAGGAAAAATAAAGTGTTTTATTCTATTCTAATAGCAGTAACATACACTTCTGGTACAAATCTCCCAAAAGAGGCCATACTGTTCATGTGGTGTAATAAGGTGAGGTACTCAGTCATATGGTTATTTGTTTTTTACAGTGAATGCTTTCAATGACGTTGACGAGTTTTTCTCTGTGCGTTTTCGTTCTGTGGGTTTTTCGCGGCTTTTCCAAGACATCAGCGCCATAAGGGGCATCTATTTCCGTCGTGTCAAGAAGTTGATGTGTTGTGTTGCAATTTTCTTTGGCGTTGTGTCGAGAAGTTAAATGTGTTGTGTTGCGATTTTTTTTTTTTTTTTTTTTTTGAGATTGTGTTTGGTGTCGTGTTGAGATTGTGTTGTGTGTTGAGTGTTTTTGTTGGGTGTTGTGGCACTTATACGCTTCTATAGACTTGACCTCACTGGAGAATCTCTTCACTGTCTTTGCTTGCTTCAGTGCCCAACCAACAGAAACACTTTCTAAGCCTAAACTACCTGACACAGCACCTGTCACTCGTACAACTCTAGGCACTCTTACTTCCCCAACTTTTCTGCCCATCTGACCTTAATTGTGTCATAAACAGTTTCCGTTCTTATTTCCATGGAGTGCTGGCCAAAAGCAATGTGGTTATTGAGTTCCATGTCAGAGTTGAAGGTTTTCAAGCCAAAGGATTAGCATTGAAATAGTTAACCTTTTCCTCCGATTAAGTGAGCTAATACTGTGTCATTAGATTTTCCTGTGTCGTTCC